TGCAGGTTTACAAATGCAGTAAGCAAATTTCCTGGCTCAACTCGTGATGCCTATATCTTGAACAGCAGTTCTTTGCCACAGTGCATGTCAAATCTGACTGTTGGAGGATGGCTATTGGGATAATCCTCTAAAGGAGTGGTTGATGACTCCAATCAACGACCCCATAACTGACCAAGAAGAGCGGTATAATTTAGCACACTGCAGAACAAGAAATGTAACTGAAAGAGCTTCTTGCGTCCCGAAAGGCTGTTTCACGTACATTCAAGCATTTGTTCTTCAAGAAAAACTTGTAATTAATATATTCTCAACACCTCAAAAAAATATATCAGTTCTATTATAAATCATTAATAGGTGTCAACACAAGACTGGAAGTTGTCTCCCTTACAAGCTATCAAATAGTTTAATTTCAAAATAGGGTGTTACATCAGGGACATTTATACTAGTATATAGGTCCCTGGTTACATGTAGTAGGTTACAAATATTTCAAATATTTTACATTTAAATAAACTGTGTTTGAATGAATGTTATCTTATTTAAAACTAACAAGAAAAAAAACATTTTATACCATCAAATTAATTTGCTGTTGTCTTTCAAAATTCAATAACTGGCTTAGAAATGTAAGTTTAACCTTCAAATTCAATAGGTGCTTACACAAAACGCGAGGCAGTCTGCCCTAAAAGCCAGACAAGATCATCGAATGTGCCATCCGTCTGCATTATTTGGCTATTGATCAGAGGGTGCCACTCATGGAGACAGTGGAGCCAGAGATTGGCAATGAGCAATACTGTGCACCAGTCAACAACAACATACCTGCCACAGCTATACGGGAAAGACTTATCCAAAGATTCTGGATGTAAGTTGTTTATAGTCAATGACTAACAATGATATAACAATGACAGTTTAATAATAAGAAAAGATCACTTTTCCTCTATAGTCCAATGCAAAATATGTACATGTATAGCCCCCCTCTCCCTTACGGGACTCAAATCAGGATCTCCTGAGCTGCAGTTCCTGAGGGTGCTTGCATATTTTGTGATAAATTAAAGGAACTTAATAACAGGGGATAATGATAATGGTTGAGAACTTTTGGAACAGTCTGTAGAGGCAGCAATTTTTTTCCAAAGCTAAAGTTCTCCTACGCTGTAGCTGGAACATCTCCTCCATAATGTCTAACTTCCTTTTCCTATAATCAGAAACTTTAACCAACTTCTCCTTTTGAAATATTAGATACTGTTCCTGTGGACTAATCTCTTTACTTCCTGCAAGTCAAGGCATTAAGTTTCATTTTATTACAATAACACTTAATAAGTACATGTATACTGTACGTATACATAAATTGATGTATTCAAAATTTAGCGCAGTTACTGGGTATTGAGTGGTTGGTGTAATCATGAATAAGCGCTAAACCCGTCCGCGCCGTATAATGTATTTATCAATAAATTATTAACGGTATTCATGAATTAGCGCACTATTGTCCGCGCCAAAGTACACACACTAATTTTTTTTAAGTACACATACAGTATATCATTGAAATGTAACCATGCAAATGGAAGGATTTCAGTAATTCTGAAACATGCAAATGTAAAGGACAATTAAGACATAAGGAAGGATTGTATTTTGTCCATGACCAGAAATTCGGAGACATTCTATTCATATGAATCAAAAAATAAAAAATGTATTGGTATATTACATGTAAAATATGTAATATAAATATGAATCAATATGGCTCTGTCATTCTTCATCAGCAGATGACATACTCCTCTAAACAAGAGGCCCAAGGGCCTTGAATCGCTCTTCTGATAAACTGTACAACCTATCACTTCTATTTGAAGCCTCTAGGTATCCTGTATATTTAGATAAAGCCTTGAAATTCCAAAGGTAGGTCATCATGACCTACATTTTAGATGAAACACTTTGAGAACCCAAGATGATTCTAAGTCAATTAGTACCTGAGAGTAGGTCATGGTGACCTACTTATCACTTGTCATTCTCTGAGAAGCCAAGATGCGTCAACTAAGTTTGATGATTCTAAGCCAATTAGTACCTGAAAAATTTAATTAAAGTCATAAATTTTCAAAAGTAGGTAACAGTGACCTACTTTTTAGTTGTCGTACTCTGAGGACCCAAGATGCATCAACTGACAAAGTTGGATGATTCTAAGCCAAATCGTACCCTTAATATTTAAATATAGCCATAAAATTTCAAAAGTAGGTCAGGGTGACCTACTTTTTAGTTGAGGACCCAAGATGCATCAACTTACAAAGTTTTATTATCATAGGCCTTAAAATGTCCAAATTATGCCTTTTAAACGCTTTGAAATCGAATGCCTGCAAAGTTCAAAAAGTAGGTCACCGTGACCTACTTTTTACTAAATATGTTTTATGGCCCAAGATGCATCATCTTACAAGATTTAATGATTCTTAACCCCTCAGTATTCGAAATAATGACCTTAATTTGTTTTGAAAAAAAATAGCCATAAAATTCAAAAAGTAGGTGAAGGTGACCTACGTTTTACTTGAAGTACTTTGAAAACCCAAGATGCATCCACTGACAAAGTTTGATGATTATAGGCCTTAAATTGTTCAAAATATGCCTCTAAATCATTTTGAAAAAGAATGGCCGCAATAAAAAGTAGGTCATCATGATCTACTTTTGAGTCAACATGATATGAGGTCATTAATTGCATCAACTGACAAGATTTGATGATCCTAGTCCTTGTAGTAAGCAAAATATATATCAACATTTTAATAAAATGTAATTTTTGGTCAACTTTGAAGTGACCTTGAGATCACGCCCTTTGTCCCAGGGTGATTCCCCGTGCAAATTTTAACCTACAACATATCTTCATCCTTTTGTGTATGTTCGGTGATAATCTGCCCAATGGTTCTTGAGAAGTAGATTTTTTAGCAACCAGTATTTTTGCTTCTATTTTCCTAATTATCTCCCCTTGTTTAAGGGTCACAACCCTAGAAAAAAACAGGAGCCCTTGGGCCAAGGATAACCTGTGACAAATTTGACAACAATTGGCCAAGGGGTTCTCGAGTTATGGTTCATATTCTAACAAGAGGCCCATGGGCCACATCGCTCACATGAGTAACTTTGGACATGCTGTTCTTTAACAGATTTCCCCCCTTGTAATACCTATCGTGGCCCCGCCCTACCCCCGGGGGTCATGATTTGAACAATTTAAAATCTACACTGCCCAAGGATGCTTCCACATTAGTTTCAGCTTTTTTGGCCGAGTGGTTCTTGAGAAGAAGATTTTTTAATGACCCCACCCTATTTTTGTCTTTTCTTGATTATCTCCCCTTGTAAGGGGAAGTGGCCCTTTATTTTAACAATTTAAACTCCCCTCTGCCCAAGGATACTTTGTACCAAGTTTGTGTAAAATTGGCCCAGTGGTTCTTGGGAAGAAGTTGAAAATGTGAAAAGTTTACAGATGGACGGACGGACAGACGGACGGACGACGGACAACGGGTGATCAGAAAAGCTCACTTGAACTTTCAGCTCAGGTGAGCTAAAAAGTTTACACGCACTGCACAAATGGCCATAGCATTAGCTCTTTGAGCCTTTGGATAAAAACTTTATCCCTGTTGTGCCCCATCCTACCCCCAGGTGTCATGGTCTGAACGAACTTGAATCTAAACTATTTGAGGATGCTTCCATATTCATATGACAAATCATAGAATCTGTTCTTGAAAAGATTTTTAAAGTTTTTTTTTTTCTATTCATTCTTATGTAAAAATTTGATCCCCCATTATGGCCCCACCCTACCCCCGAGGTTCATTATTTGAACAAATTTCAATTTACATTATGTATTGAAGGTTTCACTTAAGTTTGAACTTTTCTGGCCAAATGGTTCTTGAAAAGAAGACTTTTAAAAGATGTCACTAAATTTTCAGTAATTCTTGATTTTCTCCCCTTGAAAGAAAGAATGGCCTTTGATTTGAACAAACTTGAATCTCCTTCACCCAAGAATCCTTTGTAATAATTTTTGTTGAAATTGGTCCAGTGTTTCTTCAATGAAAAACCTTTAAATAGAAAAGTACCTCTTTTCTGCCTCTTGGCTTGCTGTTTCTCTCTACTGGAAGATGAAGCTTGCTGTTCACATCCGACTGAATTAATATACATGTACAATATTTGTAATTGACAATATATTAACTATTATGTTTTAATAATGTCTTATATTTATTTCAGCTCTCATATCTAATAAGAAGAATGCTGGCTTTGACTTTCAAGGAAGAGGAAATATGCAAATGACATGTGTAACATCATTTGACAATATTATCATTTATTTTTTTTTACTTTGTTCCTATTGAACTTTAATTTATACATGTAATCAATCTATCAAACTTTCATAATTTTCATTCTAAACTTACTTTCAACAGCCTGAGTTTTTTTTTTCTATATTGGAACTACAGCTTGCATGGTCTTCTATAAAGAACCAATGATAATCACTTATTAATGAAAGAAATGTCAGGATTGATATATGAACATTGTATATAACTGAAATATTTTGAAAAAAGAACTAACAAATTCAAATGAAATTAAACGAATGAAAATTCAAATAAAGTTGGAGACTTAGTGTCTGCACATACTTGAACAAAGAAAATTTGTCATATGTTATGTCTGTAGATAAGCAAGTAAGGTGGTCAATCACTTACCTTTTATGGAAGGTTCATTAGACACTACAAAAGGTGTAACGGCAGATTGGCTCAGGGAGGATGATTCTGTTATGTGGCAAATAACACCATATCATGATATTAGTATGAAAATGTGAGGTAATTATGTGCCTATAGTTTGTAATCAAAAGCATCATTATAATTTTTCAGTGCATCAAAATATGCTAATTAATGTAATATAGTGTGACTGTATATGTACATACATTAGTGCATTATTGGAGACAAGGTCTCAAATTCATTTCCAGGTACATTAAGTTAAAGGTCAAAAATATAAACTTGCAAGTTAATATTCCAAAAATAGACTTGGAACTGATAGCATTAGGACATGCAAGTGACACAGGCCACCTCTGAAAGGGACTGCAACACCTTTAAATGATCAAAATATACAATCAAAACATTCACTCAAAATCTGAAACTGCAGAGAGCAAGACATGTTTGTAATTCATTCATATATATATTATATACATTTTTTGCATGATCATGAGAGAAATATCAAGTATTGCAAGAAATTGCATGAGATCTTCCAAGATGATGAATATGATGAAAATATGAAGTTTTATTGCCCTGTCATGTGACTATCTAGAACCTATCAGATGTGTTAACATGAGGTTTAATAAATGTTTGCTACAATTAATCTTGAGCTTAAAATTTATAAGCACATCAATAATACTGCTCTACATCACAACATATCTGACTTTGTCTCAAAAATTTTGAATGGAATATCTACGTTTTATATTAATGTCTTAATCTTATATAAAAGCATGTGGAAATTTCTGTTCATTTCTTTTGTGCGTGTGTTGGAGGAGAGGGGAGGGGTATATCATACACTGGGACTGGGTTTCCCATGCTGAAATAGCTCACTACATTCTCCCATGCTTTAGAGTAAACATCAAGGGCTGGTCCACCTCCTGTCATTTTGATTGATCTCCTTCTTTCACTCTCTTTTTTCTTTGTCAATGATTGCATATCAACCCATTTCTTTTTGATTTCTTCATTTGTCCGGTTCACCAATGTTATGGAATTTAGTCTGATAAATATTTAATATAGACGATTCAGGGAATATTTTTTTAAATAAACTGATAAATATAACATAAAATGATTGGAATAAAGCAACCTGACAGTTAAAATTCAATTGTGTGTATTCACAATGATAAAATACTTTAATTCCAATATTGTATACTTAAAACAAATCATGAAGGAGTATTTATTTAACACACACAAGTATCATACAAAAATAGGCCTAGTTAAACGTCAGGATTGTTTTCATTTTTACACAATAAATACACATACTGATTTGCAATCTCTGACCACATCTCTTGCTTTCGATCAGCTGTAATGGAGAGGGATAATTTTGACTTAAATAATCTAGATCTGGGAGCAACTGCCTCTGCCAAAGCAAAAAGTTCCCTCTCTGTCCAATTAGGCTTCCTCCTTTTAACATCCAATGATCCATTTCGATTTAGCAGACGTCTATGACGCGGCTTACGTCAAAAATACTTTTCCTGGAAGTGAAACTTACAACTGCGCTTGCGCGGCATTTGTTGCCAAGATAAATTCAGCCTTCAACACAGGAAAGTTCCTTATTCGTAACTTACGAAATCTAGCTAAGTTATTTTTACGAAAAAAAAACTTAAGAAGGCTTTGATAAAACAGAAGTTTTTTAACTTAACTTTGTACTTACGAAATTCTTAAGTTTCAAATTTTTGCGCAACTTAAGAAGTTTAGTAAAACTCAAGCCATGTCTTCCAACAATCTGTTGGAATTCTCCAACAATCTGTTGGAATTCCCATTTGTACAAATTGCGCCCCGTTGTTGGCAGACCTAGTTTTGCATTCATATGAAACAGAATTTATTCAAAATCTAATGCATGAGAATAAAAAAAAAACGTTAGCTGTGGCTTTCAACTCGTCATTTAGATATATCGATGACGTATTATCAATTAACAATAGTTATTTCCCTTCATATGTCGATACGATATATCCCAGTGAGCATGAAATAAAAGATACCACCGAGTCTGACACATCTGTTTCATATTTGGATATTTTATTAGAAAAAGACGTTAATGGTAATCTAAAAACAAAGCTTTATGATAAACTTGATGACGTTAACTTTTCAATCGTCAATTTTTACTTTTGTCTTATTGTTTTTGACTTATTCTTGAACTTGACTCTTTTGTCTGTATTTTCTTTTCTTCGTTTGAATTTGCTTAGGTAGTTTGCGGTTTAAGACCACAAGAAGAATGTTTTTATATATTATGTCATCATTTACGCCACATATTATGAAATCAATGTTTACTTATCAATCATATTTATAATTCGGCTTCATTTTGTTGTGATTTTTGAGACAGATAATAGTAGCAAATTAATAATTCTATGAATATTTTTACCAATTATTACGTAATTAATTACAATTATTTTTCAGAAATTAATGTCACATTAGTGGCAAAGTTTAACATACCTAAGTGTTTGGTTGTTTATTAAAATGGAGAGTGTAGCGGTTTCTTGATATGCTGCGATATTACATTAACTGTGAGTCGGGTCCGTGACAGCACACAGAAATGTTAAAGAAAGAGAAGTTCCATAAATGAGTTATTTTATGAAAAGGAATTTGAATTGGCAATTGTACATAAAGACTATTTATAAGCTATGTGATAAATATACGTATTGTTTCTGGTACATTCTTTTTTTATTTACGTCCTATTTCACATTACATATTAATGATGAAACACAATTCATTTTTAGCTAAGGTACATGTTTATCCTGTAATGGCTGCAAATGAAATCCCTTAAAGTTATAATTTTGGATTAAGTGGAAATGCATTTCTGAAGAGTATAAATTTGAATAAAGAAGGGTTCATACACATAGAATCATGAGAATACGTTCTATTTCCACTATTGAAGAGTTATAGTTCTTAGTGCGCTCTTTTGTGAAAAAGTCGGAAAATATACAAATCTCGCGGGATTTCTGGGACAAACGTAGCATAAACATGTAAACAACATGTTGAATGTCGATGAACAATTCCTAAGAAAATGCATATGAAATATTTTATTGATGTGGACTTTATATACATCAAGAGTAGGAATGACAACGATCTTAATTTATATCTATTGTTGATGGTATGTATCTATTTATCGTATGGTACATCTAAATACAATATACACGCCTCGGAAATGTCGTATTTTTTATTAATGGATGATAAATTTAGGGTTTTTGCTCTCTTACATAGGCCTTTTTGTTCTTCTTTTCTTTAATTGGAATGACAAATACATTTAACATTTAAAATTGGATTGAGATTGGCATGTTTTGTATTATCCGCAACACCATGCTGTCCCAGTCAGACGACCAAACGCGCCACTAATTTTGAAGAGTTCACTGATGGAAATAGAACGTATTCCATATAAATCTCAGTGTTAAACAATCTATAATCTATAGCGCACCCAAAGCACACCGGAAGCAGGCTCAAGGGAAACGCACACAGCAAGCCACTATTTCAGAAGCGCACACAGAATTGAACCCGGGGTTCGCTAGTAAGTAATAGAGCTGTCAATCATCATAAAGCGTTGACCAATCAGCTCGACGACTAATCAGCATGCCGGGGTTGATATCTGATGTAAATCATAACATTTGTACACGTACAATTGTAAGCAATGCGTACTAATATACAGTTTAGATTTACTTTTATTTGTGTAATTGATATTTATAGATTACAATTTTCCAAATAACCTGATTTATTTAATTCCGAAGTTGTTGGGTTTTTTTTTATTAATTGTTTCTCTTAAAGAATGATTTAATTATATACAGATATTGAAATCATGCATTGCTAAATTTTTCAGGCAGGTTGCATAAAAATGAAAATGAAAACAAATTTTATTCAATTATTTGTTAATTACTTATATTTTTTTCATATTTCCTGTTTACACTTTCATCTTTTTTTTTCCCCACAGGACATAAAATATATTTATATATAAAAGGTGAAGATAACGAACAGTGATTAAAAAAATCAATAAATAATACAAATGTGTGAAGAGGTATATAAAATACGTGGTTACTGTCTTGAAATATAAGCGATATTTGGGCGAGGGTAAGAAAACGTGATAGAGGGCGAGGCTTGCCGAGCCCACTATCACGTTTTCGACCCGAGCCCAAATATTGCTTATATTTCAAGACAGTCTCCATGTATTTTGTTTATCCTGCAACATATTTTTACATGACCTCCAAAACGAACTGTTTTCAACCGATTTAGGTACATCTAAGACCCATGGCGTAAACATTGCAATATTCATGACGTCACAATGCTTTAAGAACGTTGGAATACGTGCACGAGGCTTTATTAGAGCATTGACCGAATAAAGCTTTGGTTTATTAGGTTACCTTTATTAGGTCAATACAAGGGGTAGTTGCAGGATAAAATAAAACACGGACCCTTGGAAATTTCAGAGTTGGGATCATGTGCCAAGGAGGAGTACATGTAAGTATCCCCTGTTGTCCGGTCACACCCGCCGTGAGCCCTATGCATTGATCAGTTAGACGGAACATTCCGTAGTCAAATTCAGTATAAAAACAAAGGCCTAACGATTGGTTGGAAACAATTCGGCCTATTACGAACCAATGATGAGTCATGTTTGCTAACAAGGTCATTATATCGACCATAGAATGTAAGAAATACCGACTTTAAACGAGGTTGTTGAAATCCCTGCAACATCAACTTATCAGTGAGTAGCATACTTCCGCTCAGAGCAAGCTTTTGAGTAGAGAATAAGTTGGGAGACATAAATACCATAAGCAGGTGAAAGACAAATATAACTACATAAATAAGGAAAGTTGACGATCGAAGAGTTGAAGTCATACAATTTAATTGTTAGTTGCCCTTATCGTCTATAGTCAGTAGAACATCCAAATAGGAAACAGATGTGACGTACCCTGTGGTGTCTTTTTTTTCAAGTTCACTGGAATATATCGAGTCGACATAGGAATGAGAATAACTATTGTTAATTGATAATTCTGAGCGTCGAATTAAATGCTACCGTAAGCGGTTTTTTTTCTTTCCCAGTTCGTTTTTATTGAAGAGGCAATTGTATATAATATCAAAAAAATCTAGATTTTAACTTATCGAGAGGAAATGTTGTATAGCGTGTAGAAAAATACATAAGGACGTAAATAAGAAAAGGCCATAGATACAGGCATTTCCATGCAAATGAATTATTTCAAATGCCTAAGGACTATACCTATTATACATAGAAAGTCAAACTTTTTTCTAATAAATACTTGTTACCAACGTAGCCAGTACACATTATGACGTCATACAAGTGTGACGGTTTTGGTTTTTATTGAACAATTAATTTGTCTTTCTTAGAATATTTAGTGCCTTTTATTATCTTTATACATTTTTCCGATAGTCATCGCTGATGTTAAAAGTCCCGTATTTGTAACTTTATTTGTTTTCACATGTGCTCAAGTCAAATTAACCTCCATATTGACTGTCATTCCGAACTAATTTTGTTTCCTGACTTTTCATTGCAATTGGTTGTCAGTTTATACTTTGAACATATCAGAAGTCATTTCAGATATTCACATTATAATTTTATAGCTAGTTAGAATGATTTTCATTAGTCAGAGTTTATATATAAACCGCGACAGCGGCATTTTCAAGTCACTCTAGGCTAAAGAACCCTAAGGTTCAAGCTTTCTCTTCTTCTCTCTTAGGGTTTAATCCCGGACTGCTCGTGCAGTCTCATTTTTGTTTGTTTAGGACATGATTTAAATTCTGTAAAATGTAACTAGTCCTTAGTTAGAGTCACACTGGTTCAAGAATGAATTATATATCTCTAGGCCTTTATATGTATAGTGTTATTTATAATAAATAAATTGCCTTGTCCCTTGTGTAATTAAAAGAGCTTTAGGAAAGAAGAAGGTTCGGTTTTAGATTTATAGTGCCCTAAAAATTCAATGTTTTCAAAAAAATTTGAAACTGGCTTAAATATTAGTTGAATATATGACAGAGATAAATCAGGAAAGAATATGGCATGAAGGAGTACCATTCTGGAAATATGACGTCATTAATTTGATGCATTTCTCTATTTTAAACATAAAAAGCCTCAAAATGACCCATTTCAAGGGTTATTTTCCTTAAGAAAATAGTGTCCACAGCCGTCGCCCACTTTAATTTTCGGATATGTTGTGTAAAATTATTTGAAAAATCACATATCTCAAAATATTTGTGGGCGATGCCTGTGGACAATATTTTCTGAAAGAAAATTCCATTGAAAATTGGTGTCTTCTGCAACTTTTTAAGAAAATACGGGAAAATGCACAAGTTTATGACGTCACAATTAGCATTTAGAAGGTCATATAAGAAAAATGATTTGTATGATCTTGGAATTTGAATGATGCAGAACCCATGAGTTTTAATTTTTTATCTCACTTTCATTTTTATGAAAAACACAGGGCAAAATTTGTATTGAAACCGTACCTTGTTCTTTCAGTCTACTTGCATAGAGACCCACTATTATTTTTAGGGTGTTGTATGAAATCTCTTAGGGTGTATGGAAGCTCACTAACATCTATTTTGATGGATTTTTCTTAGGGAATCACACTCACAATTTTTCTCCCTTATGTTTTTTTTTTATCAAATTATTTACTTTGTTATTATTTATCCAGTTATTTTTTTTTCTACCTCTTTTTTTTGTTTACATTTTGAGATTATTTTGGAAACTTATATGTTATTTGTTGTCAACTACAAACTATTAAGAATTATAATCATAATAAATCAATATAATAATCTTCTTATTTCAAGGTGTTGATCATAATCTAGGAATCTCAGAACCTTGGTTCAATAAAACAGGACCAGTTATTGTACCTTTACATAGTTAGTGGGAATAATCTGTTCCTTAGTATTACTTTGTTACTTTTAAAGATAATTTTGCTATTCATATGTACTTTGGGGCAGATTGAGTACACTCTGCGGCCGTAGACAAACTGGTTCCCGTTACATTTTTGGTGCCTGTGAAACCAGGATTCCTAGACAGAAACCATGACTTCACCTTTATTTAGCTTCCATACATCAACCCCTAAAGAAAGTATTACTAGACCTACGATCTTGAGAAAGGGTGCTGCTAGAAATAAAGATTTGGATGATAGCTTTGATGATGATTTTGTAGCCCTTGAAAAAAAGCATGAAAGTTTGTGTCTGGAAGATGCAAAGAAAGAGTTTGAAGAGCTCAAAGCTCGTTTCAATAATTGTAAGCAAGATCTGGAAGAGAATAGAGCCTTGAGTGATAGTGACAAAGTAGAGTCTACTGATAAAAAAAGATAAGAGGGTCTCTTTTGATTTACCTACAAATGATGCTCCATCTTTAGAAAGTAGGGAGATACAGTTAGAAAGGGGTGTTTTGCTTAAGAGGATTTTGTTCCACCACGGTCAGATAGGTTTGTATTTGTAACAGAGACGCAACATGCAAATAGAGCTACATCTATACTTGGTATACAACATGTAGACAGGGTTAACTTTGTACCAGAAACTCCACATGCCTTTAGAGCTACATCTACACAGGGTACATCACAAAAGACAGGTCTACACCTAGACACCACTTTTCACGATCTGATAGGTTTACACCTGTTGATAGAAATTTTGTCAATAGTTCATTTCAAGGTCACTCTATCAGGAAAGAGAAAGAATCTGATAAGTTTGATGAGAGAACAGCTGAATGCAAAGACTTTATAGAACACTTTGAACAGGTTTCAGATTGGAATAAGTGTACTTATCATGAGAAGTCTCAACAGTTAATTACGTGCTTAAGGGGTGAAGCTCCGAAACTATGGGCGACCTCACAGTTAAATTAAGATCAGATTATGATAAGCTTAGGTCTATCATGACAAAGCAGTTCAATCGACAAGAACTGGTCATAGCTCATAGGTGTGAATTCAGTCACGTAGACAAAAACAGGGTGAAGGTCCTTCAGATTATGAGTATGCTTTGAGAAGGTTAGGTTGTCTAGCATTTCCTGATATGACTTAAGATGACAGGGAAATTAACATTCTAGAACAGTTCATCAATGGCATAGGCAATTCGGCAATTCATGATCATGTTATTTTTCACCATCCTAAAACCTTAGAGGCTGTCATTTCATTAGCTATTGGATTTGAGTCTGTTAAGGGTCAACAATTGTCTATTGTCAAACCAGTTCATGTAAGTGACAATGTGAATACAGTTCAATGAATCTAAGAATCAAGCCACTTAAAGAAATGTCAGAGTTAATGAAGTTAATACAGGCTTGTGTAGATAAACTTTCAAAACTCAGACCACCAAGAGGGGGTAAGAGACACTCGAAGAACATGACATACACAGAATGTTACAATTGTCATTATTTTGTGCACCTAACCAGACACTGTACGAACAAGAACAGTTCAACACCCACACATAGAAACACTCAACAAACACACAAACCTACAAATAGGAAAACTAGTTGGGGTTGCTCTTGATGCTCATATATAGTGCAGCCCACAGTTGTAATGAAAATAAGGGCAAAAGTATCAAAATCAATGTTTTAAGAAGATCTTGTCTACTTGCACATTGTCTGTTAGGGAATGATGTACGTAAGTTTTTAATTGACACTGGCTCAATGGCAAGTATTTTATCAAAGGATGTATATTTACAGTTGGAAAATAGACCCAGGTTAGGAACAACTGCTGATGTTATTCTCACTGCAGCAGATGGAAGTAACTTGTGAATTCTAGGGAAAGTTGACCTTCAGTTTAGTCTTGGTGGATTAAGTTTTTGTCATGAATTCATTGTTGCTGAGATAGATCACCTTCAGGGCATCTTTGGAATGGATTTTCTAGAGCAAACTGATGCATCAATTCAGATTGACAAAGGTTTATTTAAAACAGCCGGTCAACAAATTCATTTAGAGAGAGAACAAATTTCTGTTTGCTCTAGAGTCAAGTTATCTAAAAAGAAGTTGTACCTCCTGATAGTGAAATTATTGTTTCGGGTTATGCTATTGGTTTGAAGGACAAATAATTTAGTTGAGCATTTTACAGCAAAAAGGGCTGTTAGTTGCTAGGACTTTGGTCAATCCAGAAAACATTTTGTTTTCAGTTGGAAATATTACAGATAGGCCTGTTAGAGTTGACAAGAATGCAACAGTTGCTTTATTACAGCCTGTAGATATTGTTGAGTCAAGTACATGTACTAGGTCAGTTGATGTATCATCTGGGTTGCCAGAACATTTACAAGTTTTGTTTGAGAAATCATCTGTTGGTTTGACTGAAGAACATACGTCAAAATTGTTCGAGTTATTAGTTTCTTACAAACACATAGTTGTGAGACCTGATGGAAAATTTGGTAGGACAAAGTTAGTCAAACACAATATTGATACTTGGGGTATCAAGCAAATTAAAATCCCCCTCGTAGATTGTCATATACACAAAAGAAATTGTAGAAAAAGAAATTCAGAAAATGCTTGATAATAATATTATTGAACCAAGTGAAAGTCCCTGGTCTGCTCCTTTGTTATTGGTTGAAAAGAAAGGTAAAAGCTGGAAGTTTTGTGTAGATTATAGGCAACTAAATAAGGCTACTAGAAAGGATGCATATCCTTTACCCCGAATTGATGAATCCCTTGATTCTTTAGCAGGTGTTTCATTGTTTAGTACCCTTGATCTTGTGTCAGGAGATATTGGTAGTGTGAAATGGAAGAAAATGATAAGCCCAAAACTGCTTTTCTACACATATCGGTCTTTTTTTCAATTTCTAGTGTTACCCTTTGGTGTTATGAAAGACTTAGAAATTGCTTTTAAGAGGTCTAAGATGGGGGAAAATGTCTTTGCTACCCGAATGACATTATTGTATTTGGTTCTAGTTTTGAGCAAGCTGTTCAGAATCTGAAGTTGGTTTTTGATAGGCTCAGATCTGCCAATTTGACTTTAAAACCTTCGAAATGTGTGCTATTCAACAGAAAGTCAATTTCTTAGGTGTGAACATCAAACTGCATTTAACAAACTTAAGGAATTACTAACTACTGCTCCCATTTTGGATTATCTAGATAGCAAATCATAATTCATTCTTGATACTTATGCCAGTTCCAGTGGACTTGGTGCTGCTTTGTCACAGGTTCAAAATGGTGAGGAAAAAGTGAGTGATCGCTTTTGCAAGTCGTACATTAATCAAACACCAAGCCAAATACTTCACAACATACTAAGAATTGTTAGCTGTCATTACTTTTATAAGACAATTCAGACACTTCCTTTGGGGTAGACACTACACTGTCAGAACAGATCATGCCTCATTAATCTGATTAAAAAATTTCAAGAACCCAGAAGGAATGCTAGCCAGGACTGGGTTGCCCAAAACCTTGGTTAGCGCTAACCGCTGGTTAAATCTCTTATCCAGCGGTTAACTTTTAACCACTGGGTAAATTCTGTTCAGAATTTATCCGCTGGTTAACTTTGCTATCCAGTGGTTAAATATTGGTCAAAGTTAACCA